CTAACCCTAACCCCTAACCCTAACCCTTAACCCTACCCCTAAACCCTAACCCAAACCCCCTAACCCTACCCCTGACCCCTAACACTAAAATTAAGTCCTTAAAATGTTTTAAGTACTGATGTGCTTTTAGGCTGTTTTAAGTTCTTAAAAGAACATCTTAAAGTACTTACGTGGTTTTTAAGTAGTTAAAAATATTGTTTTCGGTACTTAAAATTTTTTAAGTGGTTAAGTGTTTTTAACTTAGAGACTTGAGTGCTACAACATTTTAAGTACTTAAAAGTTTTTAAGTACAGGTGCTTAAGCATGTTTTAAGCACTTAAATATTTTTGGACTGCTTAAGTGTTTACAAATTTGTCTTAAAACTTAAAAGTACTTAAAAACTTTTAAGAGCTTAAGTGCTTTGAAGTACTTAATAATTGTTTTATGTGCTTAAATTTTTTTTAAGTACTTACGTGTTTTAAAGTACCTAGGTGCTTAAAATTTGTTTAGGTACTTAAAAACTTTTACATGCTTAAGTGCTTTTCAGTGTTTTTAAGTACTTGAGTGGTTTTTAAACTATAAGTATTTAAGTACCTACTTAAGGTTTTTGAGTACTTAAAAACGTTTACGTGCTTTTAAGTGTTTTTTATTGCTTAAGTGATTTTAAGTACTTACGTGTTTTTTAGGTGCTTAAAAAACTTGTTTTAAGTACTTGAATGCTTTTAAGTGTTTTTAAGTACTTAAGTGGTGTTAGTGTTTTTAAATAGTTGTGTTAAGTGCTTAAAAATTTTTACGTACCTACGTGCTTTTAGTTTTTTTAAAGTTCTTTAAAAAACTTAAGTACTTAAAAACTTTTAAGTATTAGTGTTTTTAAGTAGTTTTAAGTACTTACGTGCTTTTAGGTTTTTTAAGTGCCCCAAAAACTTGTTTTAAGTACTTAAAAAAAGACTTAAGTACTTAAATGCTTTTAACTGTTCTTTAAGCAAATAAAAATTTTTACATACCTAAAAAAATTTAACCACATAGGTACTTAAAAACAACTTAAGTACGTAAAGAATTTTAAGTACCTACAACATTTTTAAGCACCTAGGTACTTGAAAACACGTAAGCACTTAAAGGTTTTTAAGTACTTAAAAACACGTAAGTACTTGTTTTTTGTTGCTTAAGTACTTAAAAACACGTAAGCACTTCAGTACTTAAAACTACTTAAAAACACTAGGACTTAAGTTTTTAAGTACTTAAGTTTTTTTAAGCACTTTAAAAAACCTAAAAGCACGTAAGTACGTAAAAATTTTTAAGCACGTAAGTACTTAAAAAAACAACTATTTAAAACCACTTAAGTACTTAAAAACACTTAAAAGCATTTAAGTACCACAAGTTTTTTAAGCACCAAAAAAACACGTAAGTACTTAAAATCACTTAAGCACTTAAGTAATTAAAAACACTTAAAAGCACCTAAGCACGTAAACGTTTTTAAGTACTCAAAAAACTTAAGTAGGTACTTAAAAACACTTAAATACTTAATAATTTAAAAACCAGTCAAGTACTTAAAAACACTGAAAAGCACTTAAAATCACTTAAGGACTTAAACACTTAAGTACTTAGGTTTTTAAGTACTTGTTTTTTTAGCACTTAAAAAAACCTAAAAGCACGTAAGTACTTAAAAGCATTTAAGTACAAGTTTTTACACACTAAGGTACTTAAAAACACTGAAGTACCTAAAAACCACGTATGTACTTAAAATCACTTAAAACATGCACTTAAGTAGTTACTTATGTACTTAAAAAAACTTAAAAGCACTGAAGTACTTAAAAGATTTTTAGTACCTAAAAGTTTTTTAGGTACTTAAAAAAA